TCTTTTTTTTTTTTTACATTGACCATATTGTATTGTGGAGCAAGTTTCAAAAAAACATATCAAAGGATTGAAATTATATAAAGTATGTTTCTTGCTTTCACTGCTTTCATTGCAGCTAATCTAGCAATCAGTAATAAAAGATAATTAGAAAGTCCTTATATTTAAAAATTATAAAATACACTTCTAAAAAACACTCAAATTAAATAACAATTGCAGTTAAAAATAATTTGAACTGAATAATACCAAAATTGTACATTAAAAAAACTCTGGGAAAATGTGTTGATAAATACACACATTAGGGAGAAAGCCTGAAAATTCACAAATTTTGCATCATATTACAAATCTGGAACAATAAATTAAATCCAGAAGAAGTGGAAGAATGGAAATATGCAGGTAGTGATGTCTGGAAGGGTATATACCTTTTCTTTATTGAATGATTTTTTATTGTTAGGCTGTTATAGTTTCCCAATTTTTCCCCTTTGCCCTCCTCCGCCCATCCCACCCCACACACCCCCACCTTGTTTAGAAGCATATATACTTAATATAATAGCAGTTATTACCTGTTTGGGTAGGATTTTCAATTATTTTTAATTTTTCTATATAATTTAAGTAAGCGGCAACAACAACAACAAAAAGGCCGTGTCAGTTTGGACTTAAAAAGTACTAGAGGAAAACATGGCATAACTTAAAAATAATAATAATCTAGTATGTTGTTGTGACAACACCAGAGCCTCATCTCGTCGTTCAGAGGGGCTCCTTTTCCAATTTTCACTTCTTCATGTGCAAATGCAGCCCAGCAAAGCGGAAATGAAAGGCCTAGACCAGAAGTCATGTAGATGAGCAGAAAAGGCCTAGGCAGCACAACCAGAGAGGGAGTTAACCCCAGGGCTGCCTCACTTCAGGGTCTTCTCACAGCCCTGATGCCAAGTAACTAAAAGCAGCACTATTGAGTAGATACATGGTGTGCTGCTTCATAATTCACCTGTGACAATACTGAGCTTCTTCACAACCCTTCTGCACTCATGGCCATTCTGTATTAAAATTCAGGTATTTGCACTAAAGTTTCCTTCTTCACCACACCCCAACTCTGGGACTCCTCTTGGCATTGACTTAGAGCTAATGACTATAAATTTATAGACATGCACATTGACATCATATACAAACCCAGAGACCCCAAAGCCACACCCAAAGAGACCCCAGACCCGAGGCCAAATAGATTCAAACCCAGGCCACAGACCTTGGAGACAGGACCCAAATCTGTAACCAAGACTCCACAACCAGACTCCAGAGTTGGAGCTGGACAAGGAACCCTAGTTGCCAGATGCCAGACACAAAAGCTGAACCACACTAGTCAGGGCTGAAAATATTCTTAATAATATTTCCATAAATGACCTTGGATCCAATACTTAAATATAAAATTCATTGTTTTGATAATAAATGGTTTTCATCTCTCAAACAAACAGTAACTGTGTGACACAGTATATTTTGCAGTATGGAAATGTTCCTCCTGGAATAGAGTTTTGGATGCAAATTGGACACTTTGGGTGGCCAAGGTGCTATTCGGATAAGGAAGGCAGCATGTGCCCCTGGATTTACTGAGGGTGTGCAGAATTTTTGTTGAGTCATTTATAAATGCATACATAGACAATCAACTACTTCTCATCCATTCTTTTATCTACAAAAATATTTATAGATAGGTTTATTTTAAGTAAAGGAGAAAACAAATGACACAACATTCCAAATGACATGAAGGAAAAGCAACTTTTCCCCTGCATGTTGCCCAGACCCTGATCCCTGTGACTAGTCCTTGTGTCTCCCTCAGCACATGTCTTCTGCCTGGGTTTCTTTTTTTTTTAACACAGTTTGTTTTGCAGGATACTTTTCTCACATGACAACATTACTTAGAAACTATTCTCTGTTAAAATCCATTAGAACCACCTTACTACATTCTGTTTCTTGAATGAAATATCATATATTCTCATCCACTTTTAATGTTCTATAATATTTCACAGTGTGAGCAAACCATAACTTAACAAATTCTCTTCTACTGAAAACTTTAAAATTATATCTGTTATTATATAAGTTTTGAATAAAATATATTAAACATACTTCATTTCATACACAGGGAAACATAACTAGGGGGAAATTTTTAATTTTTTTCTTTTCATTTCATTTATTAATTTGGAAGAGAGAAAGAGAGAGTTAGTTGTTCTGCTTATGTAGTCATTCATTGATTGCTTCTTGTATGTGCCCTGACTGGAGAATGACCTGACCACCTTGGCATATAGGCAGGACACTCTAACCAACTGAGCTACCAACTCAGGGCTACTGGGGGAAATTTTTTAAAAGTGGAATTTCTGGGTCAGAGGGTATGAGGATGTTATTTCTGGATGGCTGTTCTTAAATTGATCATTGGGGAGTCTGCACCAGTGAAAGACCCTTCCCCTAGTCTTCCAGAGCAAGGACACTGCGCCTGCTTGCTTGTCAGCCTCACAGATTTCAGGAGTCCTCTGGATCCCCATACAGGCAACCAAATTATGTTGACCTTAAAAATATATGAGTCAGTTATTTTACCAGCAGATAAGGGGTTTATTCACAAGCAGTAAAAAAGTGCAGTTTAGGACAAGCAAGCTGTAGCAAAAACCATAGGCCAGCTCCACAAGAAAAAGAGAGGAATGTATTTTACAGGGAGAAAGGAGGAAGTTGGGAGGGGTCATTTCAAACGAATGTGCGCAGGAGGGAAGCGTCAGTTCAGGGGGACGATGGTTTCTCTCTGGCTGAGTTGCTGGGGAGTCGGTTTCTCCTGGGAGCACAGGGTACCATCTATATGTTGGGGCCTGTGACAGACAATGTTTCCTGTAATTGACCCCAGGTGATGCTATGTGACAGCTCCCCCACTGACCCCCAACTCCATTTCAGTGAGGTTTCCCTTTATGCAGTTTCACAGTAATAATTACAGTTAGTTGGCGCATTTCCAATCCATGGAAATCAAGTTATATTTACGTGCTGAAAACGAGGTAAGGACCAGAAACACTCTTCCCACTTTATCCCGTGAAAGCCAGTAGCAGCTAAACTGACCCTAAACAGGGGACCTGTTCTGTGGACCCCTGCCCTCAGATTTGATGTTATTTTTATGCAAAATACTTGTAGGTTTGTCCAGCATTTCTAAATTTATTTAGTTTTGTTTGGTTTTATCCTGTCTTCCTATTCCTGAAATGTTTTTACACCTGAGTTACTTAAACATACCTATTAATCATAACACCACTTCTCTGAAACATCAAATTCTCCCAGTGTGTTTCCCAGTATACTTATTACGTCATGTTGTGTTTACATATCTGGAACTTATTTTGTGTCTATGGATTGCATGGTCAGGATTTACTGACTTAAGTTTCCACGGAATGCAATGCAGTCTTGACCGGGTCCTCACTGCTTATGCAGCGTTTGCTGAAAGCGGGTTTAATAAGAGAGGGCACAGACGAGCCTAGACGAAAGTCGGGGATCCTGACCACAGTCTGAAGGAACAAAGACACTTTGTCAGGAGGCAGGAGGGCCACATCCACCCCAGGGTCCGACCCAGCTTGCGGCTTCCAGGTCCTGCGGGGGCGGGTCCCTCCTCATCCCCAGGCAAAGGGGCCACGGAAACCGCCCACCCGTCCTGGCTGCAGACTGACAGGCGCTCGGGAGACCCAGAGTAGCCAATCGCGGCGGGGTGGGGCGGGTCTTCCGCCGGCTAGTCTCCAACCCAGGGGGCTCTGCCCCTCTGTCCCGCCCTTTCAACTTCTTCTGACCGCCCATTGGCGGGGAGGGCCCTGGGATCGCAGCACTGATTGGCGGATTGATCCCACCTGCTTATCCAAGAAGGAACCTTGCCCCGCCCTCACTCCTCCCTACGCGGGAACCCAGGGACTTGGGAGCGGACAGTCCGCTGAGGTGGGTAGCGCGGCAGGGGCCCCGGGAGACGACCGGTAAGCGGGGAGCCCTGCCCTGGGGAACCCTCAGCCCGAGACCTCCCAAGTCCAGCCAGAGGGACCCCAGATGCCCTCATCCCGAGGGGCCCCAAGCCCCTTCAGCACCGAGGGGCGCGTCCGCTAACCCGGAGGACCCCACGTCTCCTGACCCCCAACGCTCAGACCCCCAAACAGCCTGGAACCCCAGGTCCCCTCAGCTCGGGGCGCCCTTCCTGCAGCTCGCCCGCCCGGGAAGACCAAACCTCCCCAAACGCAGAGACCCCGAATGCCGTCGTCCTGGAAACCGACTCAGTGGAGGGGACCCGGAAGCCCCTCGTGAGACGCCCCAACCCCCCCTCAGCCGCGGCGGTCTGGCCCTCTCCCCCGGGGACGCTGAGTGTCCTCCGCCCGGAAGACGCAGATAGAGTCCTGAGGGACCCCGGGCCTCTCAGCCCGAGAGACGGCGGAGTGCCTGCCGGACACTGCGCCCGCGCCTCGCGCGGGCTTCTCCGGACCCCGGGGGCGCCTCCCGGCCCTTCCCAGGGAGAAGCGCGTTTCCTGCGCGGCCACAGGCCCGCCCGGCCCACGGGGCCCCTCAGACGCCCCGGGCCGCGGCCTCCAGAGCCCGCGCTGAGGAGGCGCGTGGGGGGAGGGGCGGGAACAGGCCCCCACCCCGCCCCGCGAGCGTGTCTGCGGGCGCCTCCGTCCCCCTCGCCTGACGCCCTGCCCCCTGGGAGAAAGGCCGTTTGGGTACGTGAAGAGGAACTGGACGCGCTCACCAGCCCAGGTAGCGCGCAGGCGACCGGGAGACCCCGCAGGCGCTGGGCTGGCCCCGGCTCAGGGGGCTCCATCCGCCTGCAGCTCCCTCCCGCACGGACACGGATCGGGGGGAGTTTGCTCCTTCAGTCAGAGCGGGGCGGCGCTGACGAGGGTGCGGGGCTCACGGCAACTCACTTCACTCTGCCATCCCCTCGGGGCCAGTCCGACGGGTTTCCTGGGCTTCTCCCTCCCCCACGCTCTCTGCTTCAGGACAGAGGTTTCGTCTCTTCCCAGGTCTCTGAGCCCACGACTCGCTTTCCTGTGTCACCGCCGCAGGCAGGCGGGCCACCGAGCTCCAGGAGGACGACCCTGAGGACTCCGATGAAGAACGGGCCCCGAGGCAGCACGGTGAGCGGCGGGAGGAGCCAGCGCTGCCCTCCCGGCTCGGACCTGGTGTGGGTCGAGGCGGCATCTCAGGACGTCACCAGGGAACAGGTTTGCTGGTGCAGCGGGACGAGCAAGAGGCACAACAGTGTGTCGTACAGTGAGGGGCTGTTCCCGTCAACTTTCACGTGGGCGACGTAATCATATGTATTTATAGACACATTAGTAAGCAGTGAATGTGTAAGAACATAAAGTGAGCGAGAAGTAGCTAATTCAGAAGAGTCGTCAGCACAAGAGAGGGAGGCGGGTCTGGCCGGTGAGGAGGGTCCCCACACCTGGCCGCGCGGTGGCCTGCATGGAGACCGGGACAGGGAACAGTGTTAACGTGGTGATGGCGGGAGCTGGGGGAGGGCCAGGGTCGGGAGGGGTTGTCACCGTATGGTTTCCTGATGTCGGCCCCATGTTCCGTCCAGTATCGTGAGTGTTCGGAGGGTGGGGTCGGTCCACTTTCATGGGTCTGGGGTTGACACACAGCTGAAGTCAAGATGTGATCTTCAACTTCACTGGAATTCTGTTTCTGTGGTCAACAGAGTATTGATACTGACCAGAGTCGAATGACTGAGGAAGGGCGTGGGTGGCCGGTATGTGCCCAGGGGGGAGGATACCAGAGAAAGGAGGCCGGGTGGTCGAGGTGCCCTCAGCCCGAACAAGGCTAGTTTGAGTGACGAAAACAGGAAAGAGAAAGGGTTATGTTGAAGACATGGAGTTTCTGTGCAGTTACTTGTATTACATTTTTGTCAGGAGAGGCCAATTTATTTAATAAGTGCAATAGATGCTTTATGAACATAGGGTGAAGAAGCATAGATGACACTTTGCCTATATTTTTATCATTCTAATGAAATTACTGGATGGCCCAAATAGAAGTCTAGGCCTTAATGATACCTCAGAAAACATTTTCCAGTCATCTTGGGATTGGTCTTGGACTACTCTCATTCAGAATTGTGTCCCTAATAAGAATCTCCAGGTTTGGGAAACATTTACCAACCAAAACACTGATTTCCCATCATCTTTCAGTGAAATCCTGGGTGGCCTTCAGAAGAGAACACAGTAAACACCGGAAGGTGAGTATGTCTCAAGTCCTGTTGACAAGAAAGTTTTCCTCGTGGATAGAAATGCAGGTAAGAGTAGGAAAATGCAGAAAATATCTTAGGGACTGCCACCTTCCTTTGCTGGTCTTTTAATACATTGTGCGACATTATCATCCTTTTTTTTTAAACATTTATTTATCGAATTTTTTAGACAGGGGAATGGAGGGAGAAAGCGAGGAGAGAAGCATGTGGGAGACACACATATATATCTTGTCTCTCACACTCTCCCCAGCGGGGGCATCTGGTCCACAGCCCAGGCATGTGCTCTGACCAGGAATGGAACTGCTGACCTTTCAGTCTGCAGGCCAGCGCTCAATCCACAGAGCCACACCAGCCAGGGCTCATCATCATCTTAATAGTTAACAACTACAGCAACAATAGTAACTACCATTTGTTTCATTATCACAGTGTTTCAGACTTTAAGAATTCTGTGTGAATAAACTCACTTAAACATTACAACAACTCGATGAGGTACGTACTATAACTGTCACCATTTCTGATTGAGGAAGTAACCTTTCAGAGATATAGAAAAGTTTGACTAGATGTCTAAGATCAGTGGTAGTGCAATCTAACCCATAGTTGCTTCTCTAAACCACTTACTAACTCACTGAAACTTGCATAGTTGTACCCTGGCCAACATGACTCGGTTGGGTGACATGCTACAAAGCAAAAGATCATTCGTTTCATTCCTGGTCAGGGCGTATGCCTGGGTTGTGGGCCAGGTTCCCAATTGGGATGTGTGGGAGAGGCAAGTGATCAATGTTTCTCTCTCACATCAATGTTTCCCTCTCTCTCTTTCTCCCTCCCTTTCTCTCAAGAAAATAAACAAAATCATTTTTTAAAAATTAGAAAAAATAAACTTTCATAGTTTTCTCAAGTTTACATTGTCTTATCCATATGTCATTACATCATTCATCTGACTGATATTTCAATTGAAGTTCTTCTCTGCTGTGCTGAAGTAAGAGATGCACGAAGACCCTTTGACTAAGGACAGTGTACACTGTCTAGGCAGTTTGTATAATGGATGGTCCCAGATGAAGAGGAATGTAAAATGTCCAGGATCACAGCCTCCCACTCTAATCAAAGAAAGCATCTCTCAGCCCTGAGGAGCTTCAGGTTTGCTGATTGAGAAACAAAAAATAATAACATGACTTAAGGACTTCATATAGGTTACATACTCTTCAGCAGAAACGCATCTGTCTGGAACTCATTTCAAATGCTGTTTCTTGTAAGGTGAAGTAACGGCTTCTTTCTCTTAGTACCAATGACCAATGAGGCCACTCTATTCTGTTTAGAATCATTTGTTCAGCCTTCCTACCTCTGCGTTGTGACCTCTTTGAGAGGCTGGTCCATACCTGAGTCTTCTCAGAGGTCACAGGCCCAGGTCAGGGCCCCTGGGGGCCCCCAAATGTTTGCTAAATGGATGATTTCACAATTACAAATTAAACTAGAAGATGATTGATGAACGCTGAAGGTAATTTCAGTGAATTTTGAAATATGGAGAGAGCTAAGGGGTAAATTGATAGCAGGACTGTAATCTCACTTCATACTGTATTACACAATTCACAGAACACTTTTGTGAGTGTTATTTAATTGCACGTTCACTAGAATATTGAAAATTAGCATGTTATAGATCATGAAACTGAAAACAACTAGCTACTGATACAGCATTATTCAAACAGAATTGGTGGGAACCAGCTGATCTAAGTACAAATATTCTTTCTAAGGTATTTCAAATTTTATCACCATTTTATTTATTGTCTAGATGTTTCTGCCAACTATTTCTTTATTCTCTTCCAAATATCCTTCACTCTCAATACTGTAGACACAGTTTAAAGAAAAGAGCCATAAGGCAAGAGTTATAATCTTGGATTCATTACCCACATTGGCCCTCTCCCCTCTATATTCATACTCCCTAGGTATTTCCAAGGGTTAAAGTTTTAAAGGCATGCCTGTAAAATGTATCATAAGCCTTAAAAATTTAAATACATGTTTTCTTTTAATATGTCACTCTTACATTGAAGGCAACATCCAGGTTGCCATTAAGCAATGAATATAGTTTGAAGGAATTGTCAGGAACAACAAATTTGATGACTGCAAGTGACTCAGAGCATTCCCAGAAACCAGTGTCCTCTCCTGGAGAAGCATGTGCCTTTGGAAAGCACACTAGATGAAAATCAGGTTAAGAGAAAAAATGTGGAAACTTTCATTCTTCTAAGTCCTGTGGAAGGGCTGATAAGTATGACCTAGGTATGTGGGGAGGACTTTGGATGGGCCTGGATTTAAGCTGGGCTAAGCCGAGACTGAAGTTATCACTGGAGCTTTGGACAAATCCTATAAATTCTCTGAGCTCCTGAATGCTAATGTGTAAAGTGAAGATAAGGATACTTCACTCATATATCACTTGAAAATGTTAAATTAAATTTGAAACAATTGACACATGCAACTTGTCCAATAAATCCATCTGTGATAATAGCAACCACACTTTATTGGTGTTGTGTGCCCAGGCCTTTCCTCAATGCCTAACACACAAAGTGCACTCAGTAAATATGTTATGAATGATTAAAGGTTGGCAAGTAAACCTGGTAATGGGGAGATCTAGAAACTAAAATTGAATCAGTCATCTGTAGTTAGTGTGGAGTCTTAGTCTTCTGAATCAATAGTTGATGGAGTAAAATATCACAGTATGCAAAAGGATGGGTAATAATTTGATGGGAGGAGATTGTGTTATCTGACAAAATGGGAACTAACACTCCAGACCCCACCAACTTCGCTCACCTGCCCTTCTCCAACTTAGAACTCAGGAGAAGGGAAATGGACGGGAAGATGTACAGCCTACGAGAAAGAAAGGGCCGTGTGTACCAAGAGGTCAACAAGCCCCAGGATGATGACTACCTTTGTAAGTGACCCTCACTAAGAAGTATATTATGCTACAATAATTTCATCTGATCCTTTGGTCTCCAAATCATTCCTTTCCTCTAGTGACCTGGAGTACAGGATTGAGTCTCAATGATGTCAGTGCCGGACTCCCTCTGAAGTTCTTTGTGTCCACGAACATGTGCTATACCTTCCCTAACCCCTGTTCCTCTCGCCTGCAGATTGTGAGAAGTGTCAGAACTTCTTCATCGACAGCTGTGCGGTGCACGGACCCCCTACATTTGTAAAGGACATTGCAGTGGACAAGGGACATCCCCACCACTCAGCCCTCACCTTGCCCTCTGGGTTGAGAATTGGGCCATCAGGCATCCCTGAGGCTGGGCTTGGAGTGTGGAATGAGGCAGCAGACTTGCCAGTGGGTCTGCACTTTGGCCCTTATGAAGGACACATCACAGAAGATGGAGAGGCAGCCAAGAGCAGATACTCCTGGCTGGTGAGAACTGTTTACCTCTACCACTGCCCTCTGGCTTCCCACATTCCTAGTGAGGCTTGGAGGGAACTCTCCTCTTATGTGCTAGTCATGGAGGGGACAATATGATTAGCTCTGTATACTGACTGGACTTTACATAAACACAGAGCTCCTGTTTAAGGATCAGAAGGTGAGTGGGAGCAAAGTGGTGCAGACACAAAAGAGTGGCTCCTCCTTTGTGGGGCTCCCACTCTGATTGGACAGGTAGACTCGAATGTGTAGATGGTGAGTAAGAAAAACATCATGTGGTGACAACTGGCAGTTGAATCCCCATGCACGCTGGAAGAGCTTTAATGACAATAGAGTAAAATAATTCTTCTGACTACTACCTCCCCACAAAAGAAATAAAAGGTCTTTAACTTCTTTTCTGACACACAGATCGCCAAAGCAAGAAACTGCTATGAGTATGTGGATGGAAAGGACAGATCCTGGGCCAACTGGATGAGGTGAGGTCAACAGGTCTCTGGGTGCCAGAGGGGACACTCATCCCCCCAAGCCCATAAATCTTTCCCTCTCATGCCTTGCTCAGTGCTCTCCCTCCATCCTTTTTTCTTCTTTTTCTCTATATAGTGTTTTTTCATTTCAGGGGACATTTAGGAAAAAAGTATAACATATGTCTTCAAAATATAAAACTCTACTAGAAACAACTTGTGCTCTGGAAAGGACCTTGAAGAGCCTAGATTCACCAGGGACACTGGATTACACTTGAATTTATGAAATGAACATTAATTAAGCACTGACTATATTCCAGTTTAGGTGAAGGAATACATTACTTACACAGATCACACAACCCATGTCCTTATGAAGGACTTCTTGCAGACAGACACAAAACAATTGCTTTTAGAAACATTTAACTATCATTTCCACGAGGCACACAGTGTCAAAATAGCATAAACCAAGTGTGGCCTAAACCTGTGAGGGCAGCACACCATTCCAGCCTCACTTCTAATTAGATTTGGGCTCTGAAACCTGCAGAGGAATGGTCATGGGCCCCTTTCCTGAGAGGGGCTCTCTTTTTATCAGGGATAACAATGTGAACCAACTACTATTGTTCTGTTTTATTTTACTAAGACAAAAGGACCTCCAGTTTTCTATAGTAACCTTGGGCCAGGCAAGTGAATGGTACCCTAAATAAAGTGTAGGGGGGTTGGACAAAGGCCTCTCAAGAGAAAACAGATGTGGGCTGAGTACTGGGAAATTAGTGAGCTGATTTAGAAGCAGAGCCCTAGATCAAGCACCAGGTTCTGTTGTGTGAGACAACTTGATTTAGAGCTTGGGGAAGCCAGAGATCACTGGATATTATGGCCAGTCAGGGTGGAGGTTAAGTCTAGAACTGGGTTTTAGAAAATGGTATTAGGCAGGATTAGCACTGCAAGCAGGACTTGGAGGTAGAAATTCACATGACATGCTGACAGGCTCAGACACTGAACAGAAGGTTCCCCGGGAGCATGAGGGGCAGTGGGCAACACCAGAGCCTGAGGGCCTTAAGAATCAGCGAGCAGCTGGACATGGATGTAACAGGTAGTGGGAACTCATCACTGAGGTTTTCTTTCCCTTCCTCTGCCCTCAATCCCAGGTATGTGAACTGTGCCCGGGATGATGAAGAGCAGAACCTGGTGGCCTTTCAATACCACGGGCAGATTTTCTACCGAACTTGCCAGGTCATCAGGCCGGGCTGTGAGCTGCTGGTCTGGTTTGGGGACGAGTATGGCCAGGAGCTGGGCAGCAAGTGGGGCAGCAAGTGGAAGAGAGAGCTTGCAGCCAGGAGAGGTAGGCACCACTGTTCTTCAAAACAGAAAGAAAAGAGAGAATTCTCCATAGAAATATTCATGATCCAACTTTTAAGTAGAGAAAAGTCCCCTCTAAAGTAACTAAAGTTTCAAATCAAATGCTTCAGAAATTCACAATGCATTCATATATCTTTGACTCGTAGGCAACATTTTTATACTTTATTTTTAAAATATTTCATGCCCAAAATACACAACCTTATATAATGCTAAAATGCTGAGAGGCAAAAAAGGAAAAGTTTTCAAGCACTAACCAGCTCTGTCACCAAGGCACTTTTTCTGATACTTTCATTCCTATTTCTTAATTTTCCTCCATACTTCTAAATAAAATGTTTTTTCTTTATAAGCATTCATTATTTTTTAAAGATTTTGCCCTGGATGGTGTGGCTCAGAGGATTGAGAGTCAGCCTGTGACCCAACGGATCACCACTTTGATTCCCATCAGGGCACATGGCTGGGCAGTAGAGGGCACATGAGAGGCAACCACACATGGATGTTTCTCTCCCTCTCCCTCCCTTCCCCATTTTCTGAACATAAATCTTTTAAAAGAATATTTTATTTATTTTTACAGAGAGTGAAAAGGAAGGAGAAAAATAGTCAATGTGCAAGGGAAACAGTCCATTGTCTCTGGCACACCCCCAACTGGCCCACAGCCCTAGCTATGTTCCCTGACTGGGAATCGAACTTGTAACCTTTCAGTTTGTGGGACAACACCCAACCCACCGAGCTGCACCATTCAGGCAGAGCACATTTGTTCATCATTTCAGTGAATTATGTGAAATCCTCCTACTCTGTGGCACACAGAGGACATGGAAATACAGATTACCATGAGGAGAGAATCACTGCTCTTGAGGAGCTGACAGGTAAAGGAAGGAAACCCAGGCACATGTACTTGCATGTGCATAACACTACACAGTGGTTAGTGCTTTGATAAAAACTAGTCCAGGACAAGTGCCTAGGGATCAGTGTGAGGGGAGGTATAGTGTGGCAGGTGGTCTGGGAAGGGCTCCTCAGGAAATAACATTTAGAAAAATACCCGCAGGCAGAGGATCCCAGACCTAGGGAGGACCTAGTTCAGGGAAGAAAAGAGGTGGGGCGTTGAATTGGCCGAGTGTCACTCAGGTCTCAGTCTCAGCACAGAGGGTAAGAACAGAGTTCAGATACTTACCCACGTGGACATGCAGTGCTGATGGCCCAAGTTGAGACACTTGGGAGTTCCCTGAGTACAAGTGTGCAGTCATCAGCTGTAGAGTGGTGTGTCCTCTGTTCTGATTATGCTTTGTTACTTTTTAGAAAATAAACCCTAGTAGGGAATCCCCTGAGATTACTTCATTTCCAAGTGTGAGCACATGGTGGATTGGGCAGAGAGGAACAGGAGTCAGGCGTGATAAGTGTGGTTGGAGAAATACTTTGAAACATAATTTCTTAGTGTATTTGAAATGGGCTAACATTGAATGAAATGAAGCATAAATATTTGGTGTGAGGCTTTAGGAAGGACATTTTTGGAGGGGAAGAGGGAGAAAGGGAAATGTCAATGCGTTGTTTCCTCTCACACGCCCCCTACTGGGGACCTGGCCCACAACCCAGGCATGTGCCCTGACTGGGAATGGAACCAGCGACTCCTTGCTTCACAGGCTGGCACTCAACCCACTGAGCCACACAAGCAAGGGCAGGAAGGACATTTTATTTCATTGTTTTAGAGAACAGAGAAGCAATTCCTAGTTGGGGCTTCTGGTTTTCCTCTCTAACATGACTTAGAAGGTACCTAAAAATGGAAAAGGTCACTGCAGTTCCATCCACACAGGGAGTAAAATGGCCTCTCATGCTCCTCATAAGTCCCTAGTCTGGGCAGTATTAGAAAAGACCCTTGATATGGGTTTTCTCGATTTCTGAAGAAGATGCACTGCATAAAAATAAAAAAGGAAAATAGATGGCAAGTGGACACTTTGTGGGAGACAGAGCTTGTGTTGTCACCATAGTAAGAATGATTCACAGGGCAGGTCTTATCAGGAAACTAATCATAGGGCCCAGGCATTCTCATCAACACCTGTCCTGACCAAACCTTTCTCTTTCAGCAAAACCAAAGCCAGAGATGCATCCATGTCCCTCCTGCTCTCTGGCCTTCTCCAGTCAGAAGTTCCTCAGCCAACATGTGAAAGTCAATCATCCCTCTCAGATTCTCCCAGGAACATCTGCAAGAAAACGCCTCCAAGTGGGGGAACCCTGCCTAGAGGATGAGAATCAGCAGCAGCAACATACTAACACACACAACTGGAATGATAAAACTGAAGGTCAAGAGGTCAAAGAGAGGTCAAAACCTTTGCTTAAAACAATCAGTCAGAGGAGAATCTCAAGACCCTTTTTCCAACCTTCCAAAGAACGAATGAGGAGCTCTAGTGGGCATAAGAAAATGATGGAGGGAGAGCCCCACAAAGACCAGAAAGAGAGTCCAGAGGACACAGGCAAGTTCTTTGTTAAAGTAGGAATGTCAAGAATTGTAACAAATAAGCATAGAGGGTGTGGGCAAGGCTTCAGTGATAGGTCATATCTCATCAGAGACCAGAGGACACACTCAGGGAAGAAGCCCTATGTTTGCAGTGAGTGTGGGCGAGGCTTTACACGGAAGTCACATCTTGTCACACACCAGAGGACACACTCAGGGGAGAAGCCCTATGTTTGCAGGGAGTGTGGGCGAGGCTTTACACAGCAGTCACATCTTGTCAGACACCAGAGGACACACTCAGGGGAGAAACCTTATGTTTGCAGTGAGTGTGGGCGAGGCTTTGCATGCAAGTCAGGTCTCATCGCACACCAGAAGACACACACAGGGGAGAAGCCCTATGTTTGCAGGGAGTGTGGGAGAGGCTTTGCATGCAAGTCAGGTCTCATCATGCACCAGAAGACACACTCAGGGGAGAAGCCCTATGTTTGCAGGGAGTGTGGGAGAGGCTTTACACAGAAATCAGTGCTCATCATACACCAGAGGACACACTCAGGGGAGAAGCCCTATGTTTGCAGGGAGTGCGGGAGAGGCTTTGCATGCAACTCACATCTCATCAGACACCAGAAGACACACTCAGGGGAGAAGCCCTATGTTTGCAGGGAGTGCGGACGAGGCTTTACACGCAAGTCAGTTCTCATCATACACCAGAGGACACACTCAGGGGAGAAGCCCTATGTTTGCAGGGAGTGCAGGAGAGGCTTTACACAGCAGTCAAATCTCATCACACACCAGAGGACACACTCTGGGGAGAAGCCCTATGTTTGCAGGGAGTGTGGGAGAGGCTTTACACGGAAGTCAGTTCTCATGATACACCAGAGGACACACTCAGGGGAGAAGCCCTATGTTTGCAGGGAGTGTGGGCGAAACTTTACAAGGAAGTCAGTTCTCATCATACACCAGAGGACACACTCAGGGGAGAAGCCCTATGTTTGCAGGGAGTGCAGGCAAGGCTTTACATGCAAGTCAGGTCTTATCACACACCAGAGGATACACTCAGGGGAGAAGCTCTATGTTTGCAGGGAGTGCAGGCGAGGCTTTACACAGCACTCAAATCTCATCACACACCAGAGGACACACTCAGGGGAGAAGCCCTATGTTTGCAGGGAATGTGGGCGAGGCTTTTCACGGAAGTCAATTCTCATCACACACCAGAGGACACACTCGGGAGAAAGCCTATGTTTGCAGGTAACCTGAGTGAATCATTAGCATTAAGTTGGATTATCAACAGCCACTGGGAGTCTAGGGCCCATTACTCTCCCTAAGATTCTAATTAGTACAGCAGTAACTGGTTAAACAAACCCTCCAGTTTCAGGACAAGAGATGAGATTGACAAACAGTTCCATAAGTGATATGGGAATGTCAGCACCAATCTCCATGGTTTTTTGACATCTTATTCTTAACAGTTTTGTCTCCATACAAATATGAAACCCACATCCCACATTCCCCCATCACTGAAAGCAGAGAGTTCGGGAAGAGCCACAAAGAACTCATCCTCTCAGCCACAGAAATTCAACCCCTACAAATGGGGAAGTCTTGAGACAGATTCACCAGGGAAGGGAATTCCCCAGACTCCTGGGATGGGGGCCTTCTTCTCCTAATAGGCTCCCTACCCTCCTCCCTTGGCTTCCCTTGGCTCTTCTGGTTTCCTGCAACCTCTGGAGCCTCAGAGGTGAACGGCAGCAAGGGATGTATGCTTGTGCATGGATGTGAGCCTGGCTCAGTCTGGGCACCTGGTCTTCCTCACTCTCCTTGCTGCCCCTTCAGGGTCAGCACTTCATGGTGCACAGCATACCAGTTCCACATCGGTGCATGGTGGGTGTGATTCTGAGCTCTGTCTTCTCCAGCTGTGTGACCTAAGGCAAGATTCTCAACGCCTCTCTGCCTGTTTCCTAGTCTGTACAATGGAAATGGGAACTCCAGCCTTTTTGACATTCAAAGTTGAGTCAGCACAGACAGAATCTGGCAAGAGGATCACTGAAATCACAAGCCCTGGTGAACAGTCCTCAGTGCCCTTGTCTTCTGGGTCTTTAGCACTGGACAAAGGAAGATAAGGACAGGGTCGGGATCTGTAGCCAAATTCAGATTTTGAGCAAACCCCATTGCTTTCCCCACATAGACTCAACTGCTCTGAGAAGGAAGCATGAGGTGGGGATGTGCCTCCATCCAGATTACCACCCTCTCACTGAGCCTGGGCATCCTCACAGCCTCCTCAACACAGGCAGGTGCTACTGAGAGTGACCTGTGAAACAAGACCCTCACCCATCCCTTGCTGAGAACTGACACTGGGAACAGCACATACCTGCACTGGTCTGTTAGGTAGGATAGATCGTAAGCCAAGGCAGGGAGGATGAGGAAGATGTGTCACCCACTAACAGCAGTCCTGAGCCTGGTCCAATTCTATTGCCAGATGGCCCAACATCACAAGAAACTATTCTAACACATTGAACTTCTAGGTATCATTTCCAGTATCTGGCAAAGAAGGGCTTTCAAACTGGATTCATTCCAAGGCCTAGAAGATGGCAGGGGGTCCACAGCAAGGAAAGAACCCATAAAACAAAATTGGGCAATTGTTTGCCTCTGCCTACTATCTTTTATGAGAGGGTCCCTAATGTTTACAGAAAGCCTATAGGTAACTTTGGGTAACTGCCTCAACTTTAACTGTTCCCTGTCATGGATCTATTTTACAAGATGACAAAATGGTGTCTGAAGCCAGATAAGGATTCAGGCTAATGACCCCCACCCATACCTACGTGTGGGTAGTTTCATCCCCTGTGGAAGCTGGCACCACTTTTACCTGTCAATCCATATGTAACTTCTTCGCCCCCATCCCATCAACTATATAAGTCCTGAAGACAAAGGACCTGGTGCTCTTGACACCCAAGCTGTTGCCTTTCACCCCCACCTCAGCAAGACCTGTCCTCTTCCTTGAGAACGTATCACTAATAAACCCTCCTTGCACACTAATACACTTGCTGATCTGTAATCCTTTACAGCATTGGCAAGAAGAACCGAGTTTCTCCTGTGACAGGTGCACCCAATCTACATATGGCATTCATGAAGCCCCCAACACAGGAGCTTCCATAATGCACTTTCCTTGTACCTGGGACCCACAGGGCTTCATACATCAATGACACCATCTTGAAACTAGTACTTACTGTATCTTTAAACTTTTGTTTGTAAATTAAAGCCTAATGGGGTAATGGACATGCACGATGTTGGTCATTCCTGGCCACCCATTCACAGATAATGTCCACAATGGCCCAAGAGCACAAAATTCCCATGGACCCAATTCGGGGGAGTCCAGCAAGACTCAGGGTGAGAACAGGGTAAACACCTACATCTGGTGCTAACAGCTCCCAGAAGTCACACTTTTCTTAGAACCAGAGTTGAGTTCAATACAGAGAGATGGTGAACAACTCATGAGGACCCTGTCGTACCCTCTCCTGCATGAGGGAGACCTAAGCATGACCCACCCTGTTCCTGCTGGGGTGGGTTCACCAAACAGGGACACCCACCCCCATGACCTGAAATGATGACCTTTCTGTCCCAGTGCCAGGCTTGTGAAGAGTGTCTATATAAATTATGTGGGTTTCAATAATAAATATCCACTATTATTTTCTTTTGTGCTTTTTTAAAGGAAGGTATATTTCTTGGGTTCTGTTTCCCTTCCCTGTTTCTCCCCCCACCACCACAGCCCAGAGAGAACACCATAAACTCAATATTCTGTGGCTTTCAGCATGGCCCATGGGAGAGGGGCAGAGTCCTATGAGGTGCTGGCAGAGGGGCTGGCATTGAATACAGTGGGAAGGGGAACCCACAGACTGCCATGTGATGGTCACCATGACCCCCCACCAGGAGAGACCCTGGAGCTCTCCCAGAAGGCTTAGCAATTCAAGATGAGTAGAGAGAGTTCTATTCCCTCTCCCTCCCTTTCAGCAGCAAACCACATTCCTAGTGTAGTTGCCAGCCTCCAAGTTGTCCCCCAAGTCCACACACTCTCACCCCTGACCTTGTACAGTCCCTCCTTCACACAACCAGGCTGCTCTGTGTTGTGAAAATGGTGTGTGGCCCTCAAAGCTAAGTAATAAACAAGCCCTTTTGTTTCAGCCTTGCTTGCATAGTTCACACGGTCTCAGACCACCTTGTGCAGGGAGCTAGGTGTTTACACACCCCTCCCTCCCACCTGCCAGTGGCTGGCAGCCACCATCCTTGTTTTGAAGTGGAGGCTCCAAGGAGTGAGTGCAGCCTAACATCTGCTGGATTCTGAGTCTCTTGTCCTTGACAGGCAGTTGAGGCTACTGTCCTGTCCCCATGACACCTGGTATGCCTCCAAGGCCATGCTAGCTGCACCTGCTGGCTTACCAACTCCTCCACATGACACTGTGAGTAACCTGGATGGGGCAAGTCAATAGACCTTGGGCAAAAAGGACATCAGTGGCTGAGGTGATGGGACGGCATGGCCACTTGCCTCCATCACACATTTGACTCTGACTGCTGTGGCCAGCCCTACCTGGTTTATGTTCTGTATGCCACCCAGGTAGGGGAGCTGTGGGCTGGCTTGGGGACCGTAACTGGGTTGTTGAGGGGGTTACTCACCAGAATGGTCAGCTACAAACACGGAACAGCTCCCTGCCCGCCAAGCTGGGGTCAGGTAAGCCTTTCTCAAATTTGGCAGATTTGTCTTGACATCCAGACCCTGCCCTGTCTGTCGCTGGTCTGACCCCTGGTCTGGCCCCGGTCCTAACTGCCCTGGAAAGTCCCTGACTCAGCTTCTGAGAGCTGCCCTTGGGGACGTATGTTACCCACAGGTGCTGTCCTCAAATATCAGACCTCTTAAAAGTTACTGAAGAGAGCTTTTATAATTTTTTTTTTACAGTAAGAGATTGTTAATCTCATCACTTGGAGAAAACTGTAACATTTTGAAATTTACACTTTAAGATTTTCTTTTGCAGACTCTCATGCTTGATGGGAACATTTTTTTTTCTGACGATATGGAGTTATTGTTTTAAAAAAGTAAGTTTGGGAAATACAGAAAATAAAAGCACCCATTATTCCATAATCCAGAAGGCACACCAATTAACACAGCGAGTTAGACTTTTCTGTTCACTGCACACATAGGCACACATGGGCACACCCACACACCTTTCCTTTACAAACAGTACAGAGCCCGGTCTGACCTCCTCAGCAGCCTCTTTCCCTTCCACATGCCTTGACCACCTTCCTTCAGTTTCCACAGTTACACTGGGTCCCACAGCCCGGGCTGGGCTGAGGTTTCACCAACCCCCCTTGTTGGACAAAAATGGTGTTTTCAGGGAGAGTCTGTATAGCACATGTCAGCCTAGTTCCGGCACAGATGTGAGTGTGCAGTGTGTGCAGTGCACTCGGGGCCCAGGAGAGCTCTCCAGTGTCCCGCATGTAAGGGGAAAGTGCACTCTACCTTCAGGCCTCGCAGGATGTCAACCTCCTCCTCTCAGCCTTCTTCTGCTGAGGAAGGTGTTTCAAAATCCTTGAGACCATGGTGGGGGTGGGGGCACTGCTTTCTGGGGAGCAGAGGAGAAACACGACGCTGAGTGGTGGTTCTCAGGTGGGACCACGGGCATTGTCCTCTGTGCCCTGGCCTACTTCTCTTTGGCTTTGCAGCTTTTTGCCCAGGTGATGCCTTCTGATGAGGGCCCCCAAGATGCCTCAGACACTGTGGTTGGTAATGGAAGGTCAGGACGCAGCAAAACCAAGCCCTTCCCACAGGTCAGTGTGGTGCTGACAGCCTCTGGGCTTACTGGACAGTTAGGCTTGTGCTGTGGTCTCTCTCCTGTTGTCCTTTTAGGAAGCTCTTTCTGGGCACCAGATGGACTACTGCTGTCCCCTAAAGCCCCCCTTGGTCTCAAGAGGCAAAAGAGAGACTGGGCTATCCCTCCCATCTACTTCCCAGAGAATGACTGAGGCCCATTCCCAAAAATGTAGGTCAGGAATTGACAGACCTAGGCAGGCCTAGGAGGAATGGAAAATCACCGGGTGGGAAACTGCACTGCGGGAAACTGAGTGCCTGGGAAACTGCCTGCTGACCCTACCCAGGATGAACAGGCGCTCAGCTAAGATTGGGGTCTGGGGTCGGCCTATCCGGCAATAACAGGGTGCAGCTTTAACCTGAGGCTGACAAGATGTATCAAGAACAATGGTCAGCAGAAATGGCACCCAGCCACCAGCTCTAGCAAATCAGACTCTGACACCCCAACCAGTTACCCTTTGCTGGTTTTTGTGCTTAAAAACCCTGCCCTATGAACAACCAAGCAAGTCCCAACCTCCCTGGGTTGGCTCCATTTTCTCCTGCTAATAAACCCTGCTCCCTAGCTCACTGCATCTGTCTGGTTTCTTGAACGACTCCAACCTCACAGGAATGGCAAAGGGCAAGTTCTGGTCTCATCCAAGGAGCCCCGCTGAGGGAATTCAGACCTGATGGGGATTGTTCTTTGCAGGTTCTGTTCTGTGTCATCTTCAGATCAAATCGAACAAGGACGAGAAAGTCCAGGTTTCCTACAACATCGTTGGCCTAGGCACTGACTCACTTCTTTTCTTTTTCTTTATCCTCACCCAAGGCCTTTTTTTTTTTGTCATTGCTTTTAGAGAGAGGGGAGGGGAGAGAGAGAAACATCAATGCAATGATTGGTTGCCTCCCATACACATGCTGACCAGGGATTGAACCCTCCACCCAGGTATGTGCCTTGACTAGAATGGAACCCTCAGCCTTTCAGTTACAGGACGATGCTCCAACCAACTGAGCATGTGGCCAAGGCTGACAAACCTCCTTTGGTGTTTGTTGTAAGAAGGGAAAGTCGATGGCTGCAGGGGACGACAACCCTGGATGGGGAGAAGCGATCCTTGACGTTGCAAGTATCTCCTGTGTGGCTTCAGGGGGTTCTAGAACCAGGGGTCGCTGCCTTACTTTCCAGATACTTCAGATGGCCACTTGTCTTATGAAGTTATTCATGACGCATTTGTAGGCCCTTTTCACATTCCAGGGGCTGCACACAAAGGTTAAGAGGGTGGAGGTGGGCAGGGCTGGGCACGGACAGATCTGAGCTGTGTGCTCATGGACAAGCTCTGGGCCTCACTGGGCGAGAAGGTTACGCGGCAGGCCAGCCTTTGAGCTCAGAGTAGACAGCAGCAGCTGAAAAATAAACAAAACTGAAAATTCTGCATGAAAGGACATTCTGATGGACTGATTTCCTGTCCCCCTTTCCTTCCAGTGGCAGCCACTGCTGTTTTCTCCCCCTTTTCCTTCCTTTTCTGTCATGGCGGATTTGTCCCCACAGCACACCCCTGCTCACCAGCCAGCACCAACCATCTCCTGATGACCACATGACAGGCATACCTACCTCAGGTCCATTCACGGACCAAACTCCAAAGTCTTGGTCTAAACGATCAGGATTCACTCCCTCCACCCAGCTCTCCCCTCTGGCTTGTGAGGGCCAGTGTCCAGACAGGACTCTCCTGACATTGTCAGGGAAAGAGGGACAAGGACCTGGGAGCAGGGGGACAGGTGGAGGGATGAGACCTGGGACAGCCACATGCCCTTCCCTCAGGTCCCTGATAGTTTCAGGTGAATGAGGGACAGTGTTCCCACAGCTGCAGCCATGTCAGAAGAAGCCCTGAATCTTTCCAAATGAGTGAACAAATAACATTGAAATCGCTACAGGAATGTGGTGGACTATGCTGCTGTATCAGTTCACAGGCAGTGCTATCGTCTGCACGGTGAGTGGACTAAAACGGGAGAATGTTGCACGTCAGACTTCTGCTCTAATTTTGTTGCCATGCTGGTTGTTCACTGTTGGGATATCAACTCCCCTCCGCGTTTCCCTGCAGGCACAGCCAGGATGCAAGTCACAGCAATGGACACAGCTGACGATGAGAACACCTACGATGCAGCCACAGCTCACATCCTGGTGCCTCAGCACCGCACGCTCACCATCAACCAGCACACGGGCATCATCAATGTGCTCACTTCAGGGCTGGACCGACAGGGTGGGAGCCAGGAGGGGCCACTGGGTGGTGTGGTCCATGTATATTTGTCCCAGCTGGTGGGCACAGACACCAGCCAATCAGAGCAGACACCAACCAATCAAGTAGACACCAGCCAATCAGAACAGGCTCTTAATTAGAACATGCACAAACCAGTCAGAAGGGTCACCTGCTGCAGACTGGGTCCTGCTGGTGCCCACAGGCTGACTTAGAGCCCTGAGCAGAGTAAGCCCTAAGGAATCACCAGAGTACATCAGAAATGCGCTCACAAGACTGCCTTGTACATAGCAGGATGAAATGGCCTCTCGCAAAATCAGACCACAATCTCTCCTGAAAATAGAAAACACTCCCAGCATCACCCACCGCCATAAGGGTGGAACACATAACTGAAGGGGTCTCAGAACCCACTATCTGGTGCTGGGACTGGGAATACAAGGGTCAGATCCCAATCCAGGTAAAGTCTCCTCAGGTCAGTTCTGGGACAGGATGGTCTGAAATCACCAAACTTTGCCTCCTTGTGGAGCAGGGGGCCAGGGCAGAAGCTGAGCTGCCTGTCAACCTTGCCT